TTCCGTGAAGAATTTCTTAATGATCGTGTCAATGATTGTGTGATTTTTATTTTTTGTTCTTTTCTGTTTTGAGCTGGGTATTATCCATACACATGCTTAACTGAAAGAATATATATCAAACCAGTGCCAAACGTATTACAGCCTACAGAATTAAGACTGTAAAGTAGTTCATTATGTTGTGCCAAAGAAGGCCAAAAGTGTAGAAAAGCTCTCCCGGCTGCCTCTTTTGACACTGAGGAAAGCTTTCCAGTGCCACAACCACCTTGCTTTGGTCCTGGTGAAGCTCTGCCACACACCGGTCCTACTGCCATCCCGTCTGCTTTCTACTGCTCTTTCTTCTGGGCAAGAGGTGGAGAGAAGCCTATTTCCAGCTCAGATTGATTGCATTTAATATTTCAATTTTTTTTTATTTTCCTTTTGAAAGAAATAAACACAAAATAACTAATCTGTAGAATATACAAATGGGAGTTCAGCAAGCGCTGAGGATTCATGGGCTTAAAATCCTGTGTTTGATTATTTTACATTTATGGCATAGAAATCTGGCTGTTTTAGGTTACTCTGCTAAATGTTGCAGAAAAATACACGCTTGGACCAGCACTAAGCCAAGGGAACTCCAGCAAGAGGTGGCTTGGTATTTACTGCCTGGAGTTTCCCTGCTGCCTGTTACATTTCTCTCTCACACTGATATATACACACACACACGGTGGGTGGTGTGAACACATCTTAAATGTAAAAAAATATTAATGTGGTGGCTTTTGGTCATTGGTGTCTCTTGCCTCCTCTCCTTGAAGTTAAACAAAGAATGAAAGTAATTTGACCAGCTCTGAATGAATGAATGAATGCTGTGTTGTTTTGGCATGGATTTTTTGTTTGTTTGTTTGTTTTTCTTTTTTCTTTTTGGCAGGTCAGCCTCTGAAGAAGCTTCTAATGGCATACTGCTGTACCCTAGGCTAGCACAGAGGCTGTTAAACGAATGCAGGAGCAAATGGACACCAAAACCAGTCAAAATACACCAAAAATAAGTTTTGGCTAAGGTTTTTCTTCCCGAAGGTCGAGCGTGCCTATTGCTCTTTCTCCTTTTCCTGCATGCTGAGTTTCCTGAGTGCCAAAGCCTCTGCAGAGGACCGAAGGCACATCCTTGGAGGTGGATGTAGGGCCGTACCCCTGCTGAGTGCCAGCCGAGCGATCCGCCTCCCTTCCCAGCTCAGGAGGTATCTGCTGGCGGTGCGCGT